CTGATGCAATCCATCTCGTTTGTTTGTCGGTCTCTCAAAGTTTAAGATTATCTTAGTGGTTACTTCCGGACAACAAATATACATACAGGGTGGTCCATAGACCCCCTCCTTTCTTTTGCTTATACTGTACCGCATGCACGGGTGCGGGCGGCCTTGCCTACCGTCGCTCTCCGCGGCACCTTATGGCCCTGGCCCCGTGCGAGTATGCAACCCGGACGCACGCCTGCATCCGGTACAGTATAAGCACAATAAAGGAAGGGGTTTGTGGACCACCCTGTATTTTCTTCCAGGAGGTAACTCATCAAAGTAGAACCCAGACCCAGAACCCTCTCACCCAAAAGTTCGTCTGTTTGTTCTCTCTCACCGTTAATCACTAGAGGAAGTTTCTCTCAGAAAGGTGACTCTAAAACACGTTTATCTTCTTTAGTAAGGGATAACTTGACGAAGTAGAAGCAACTGGGGACCGATTTCGTTCGTTTAAATTACTATCTCCCACTGGATAGACACTGAATGGGGATTTCGACCGGTTTCAACTAACATAAGCAAGAAGTGCCTAAGTTGTAAGTAAGCCCTACAAGGTCTCAAATCGAAATTTGTTAAAGTATCCCCAGAAAACAGTTCATTGAAATCGTGGTCTTTCGAGGCCTTTTCCGGAGCTAGAGGTGGCTTTGCTTTAGGCAACGGCAAAAAACAAGTAATAGAGGCAAAAAAGCTGTGCTTGTCTCGATGGAGTGACTTTTATTAAAATCTGTGTACGAAGCAGAAGAGCGCGGGGGGGGGAGTCAGGTTGCAAGGTGCTGATATACCATTCTAGAGAGTTACGAAATTTCGAGTATGACTTCGAATAACCCGTGGTCTTGTTCGCAGGTGCGATATCTTATATCCAACGCGTCGATCGATGTAGATGCCATTGCGCGGATGTTTGGCGTCTCACCTAATAATGATGTGTGGAAGATCGTAATAACGATAAAAGACGAAAAGCGTGCCCCTTATATTTGCCTTGACGCTGCAGTCCGAATTGTGAAATACGCAAGCAGGGGTTGATGTCCTTGGCAGCAAACTATTGTGGTATCTACCGCGGTGGAGTGAGTCACTTAGCATTTCGAAATTATAAACGTCTGCTTTCTTAGATAAATTGCGCCTTCTTTATACGCGTAAAATTGCGGGTTCCACATAGTAGGCCTATCAATTAGGTACCACTCTTAAGCAAAGTCCCATCGAGAGAGTATGACGAGACGACGAGACTTCGACTACTTGCTTCGCTGGTGAGATCAGCAGCTGCGGGTACGAAACTGGTCTTCGCTCACAGTGGGGTAACCAGACTTGGTCTAACCCTAGAGCGAGCAGGCGCGCGCATCCGTCAAGCGGAGCTCCAAGTTCCACTTCCCTGGCACCGGCAGGCTCAGCCGGAAAACAGACAGCGTAGAGGTTCTCAATAAGAATCTGGTAAAAGTATTAGTACTCGCAGTACCTAGTCACGCGGTGTCGCCAGCGCCGCTGCAAAAAATATTGCGTTGAAGTTTGACACGGGCAGTGAGACGACACGTTACTATCAAAGATAAGGTTGTGTTCGTATACTGTGGCCTGGCTCCTGGATTGGGTTCCTATACTTACTTGTAACCTATCCATGACCGAATCACAAATGTTTTTGACAGTTAAACTTACAATGTTCTACTTATTGTTCTACAGTCTATTGTGCTATTTGTAATATATTTCTTGTTGGAAAATGGCAACATTTTCATATTGCACTTTATGAGTTTGTCATACCTATTGTCTTCCACCACCTAGCCTAATGAATGTGAGTCAGTCAAGTGAACGTGTTCCCTACCGGAACTCCAGCTGAAGCTCTCACAGACTTCGTCCAGGAACCTCAGAGCGTGTGTACTCACGGTAACTCACTCCCAAAGGAGGGCCTTGGAATTTTCGTCTCGTGGTCAAGGGTTTTTCTTGATGTATCCAGATCGTGCTTCAAGGAAAACCCTTCAATACCAGACAAAAATTCTAAGGGTTTTCCTTGGAGGCGACGGGTTTAAGGGCAGAGTTTGGGATTTAAGGGTCAATCTTCCACCCGACCTTGATATCCAAGAAATTTCCTCGAGTTTCAAGTGAACAAGACATTATTTTGACCGTGATGTACTTGTTTTAGACTATCGGAGTTAGTGATGTCCAATGGTCGGTCAACCCCCCACTCCACCTGTCTGCCGTCTCTCTCTCACGCGCTAGCCGGCCGCTAGCTCCGTCCCTCTCGCTCGCTCGATGGGCACCCATCGGCACCGAGCGACCGACCATTGGACACCACTAATCGGAGTGACATCTAAAATCATCTTTCCCTAAATACCCAAAATACCTTTCGAGACACAATTCCCAACATTTTTCAGTGTTTTTTCTCTGTTGGTTGTAAACTTGACGATAAGAATAAGGCCTTAGTTATTGTCGGTTTCAAACGTGTTTGGTCCATCAGATAGGCGCACCTGACCGGTTTATTTCGCATAGTGGACTCAGAGCGTGCTGCACCCTAGCGTCTGGAGCTGGAAGCAGCCCCGCCCCCGCCGCTCAGGCCTCATTGTATACTGATTATAGAACTGTCTATTTTTCTTCAATAAACCAATAAAATCACATCAGATTCTAAACGGCTAGTCATTTCGATCAGAGCAGAAGTAGTAGTCAAGTAGAGCATATGGAGTACTAATAACCCGCATTCGGTCAGTCAAGCTAAAATGCAGACGAATGCGGGGAACGAGACCACTGATCTCGCTAAATTACATAAAATCGCACCAATATCTCAAAACAGTCAAAAATGTTGCTTCGAATGTTCTCCAGCCGGGCAGCCGGGCTAATGCAGATCGAACATTCTCCAAACGACGTTTGTAGATCGGACATTCTCTGGGCGACCGTCGTAGAACGGACTTTCTTGCATGGGGGCAACGCTTTGCTGACACCCCTCACTGCCGGAAATTAGTAAGAAATTGGCTGTTAGATACAGGGTTTCTTCTAGCGGATGGCACAACTGTGACCAAGAGGCCACTCGAGGCTTTAATTGCCTTGGTGGCAACACCCAGCAACCCTCTAGAAGTGACATCTTGTTTCAAGCTTACTGGAGCCCATGTCAAGTGTGAGAAGACAGCCCGGCAATCAGTTCGCTTAGCAGCTGAGCTATTGTTTCACAGTACTGAGGTTGCCCTTAATAAGTACTTACCTGGAAATGATCCTGAGGAGGCACTGAGACTCTCAAGAGTCATAAGAATTATTAATGGATGATTTGACATTTTCAATTCGTATATCCTCTATTCCACCCCACTGAAGTCAGCTTATGGAACAAACCTTGAAGAACAAGACAAGGCTGGATGAAATGTACAGTTTAATGAAAAATATGCTTTGTATTGATAAAACGTCTTTGCAAATTTTCCAGAAAGCAATACTAATATCAATCACATCACTTAATGTTAAGAATTGAAATAGAAATAAAATTCTAAAAGCCTTACCTCCTTTCCCACAGGCTAAACCAAGATATACTTGAAAACTTTTTAGCCAAATACGGACTAGAGAGGTAGTCTTCATGACCACCCTACTCCAATGGAATCATTGTGGGGGGTAAGGATGATAATTTTAGGAAAACAAGCTGGTATTGTGCATGCTAATAATAATGCCAATGCCTTGGAGTCCAGCAAATATGATGGTGACAATTTCCTGACGGCCACAGCTATTAATGTTCTAGAAGAGGCAATGACAGCAGAAGACCCAGAAGAAGACCCAGATGATGTAGTGGAAGAAAATTCTGATAAAAACAATAATGAGCAACAAAATAATATTTGCCATGATTATGAAAATGAAAATGAAGTCGAAGCACCAAGTACCTATACAGAATTACAGGAAGAAATGCAAGGTGATGGAATAACGTACTTGGCAGGTTGGGTTGCGTCGGTCGCCAGTTCGGGCGCCGAATCGCCCTCCGGAGTGCTGCGGTGCCCCGGGTCTCCAGCGGCCCTGCGGAGTGCTGCCCCTGGCGGAGACGTCGTCAACTAGCCTCTGCTGACGCAGTCGGGGCCCGACGCTACTCCACGGCGGGGGCGGGGCGCTGAGCGTCGATCACGGGTGTGCGCGCATAGCCAGCTCAGCACAACACGCGTCAGCACCCTCCTGACCGACTGTCGGTGCGGGGCTTGCAGGGCGGTGCTCCGTGGCTGCGGGCGCGCCGCGCCCAGACGGGCCTTCCACTGGGGCGCGTCGTCAGCACATCTGCGGGTCCGACGCCAGCTGCCGCCGGTGCCCCACCGGGGCCCACCACCTAGGGGCCCTTCGCCCTGCCGCGCCTCTGCGGTTATCAGGGTCTGCGGTTCGTCGATGAGCCGTCAGCGGGGGCCCCTCTACGAGTCACGGGGTGCCCTGGCCCTGCTATGGCCCGTCCGCAACTTCTTTTGGACATTGGCGGCCGTTCTCTTCGCCGCCCGCCCCTCTGGTCATACTTCACCCCGGGCGTCCAGGTTTTCAGCGTGGGAGCACGAACCTGTGTTCCTTTGCTTGACGATCGCGGCGACTGCAGGGGGGCTGACGACGGGTCACGTTTGAACCCCG